GGATCGCCGATGCACCGATCCGGATCGCCGATTCGCCGATCCGGATCGGTTTTTGGAAAGCCCGATCCGGTTTTTAAACCATTGCTTTCACATGAATATGAAAAAAAAAAAAACCTTTCACATGATTATAACCAAGTTTGTCGAATCAGTACCTTTAATTGTCAACACCATCTCCTGCATATGACACCATATTCCACTCTAGAAGCTTGTTAGAGATTTATACTATGGTGAGCAGTTTGAAAATTCTCTACAATTTGAGCATCTAAACCACTCTTGGACAACCTCTCCTGAAATTCTTATTTGTAACTAATGATTCCCTTTGCCATGCATATTTTTAAGTTCTAAACTAGATTTAATTGTGGTCTTTTTCAATTAAATTCACAAAAGTATCCCTCTTTGTCATTGAATGTGCCAATTTGGTAGTTATTGTGCTTGGTTAATAAGAGAGAGTAGCGTTTTGAGACTTGGATGAGGCAATTTGGATTCGGCAGAGTAACTCGGCCTGGGCGAGGTGAGTTTTGGGTGAGTAGGTTGTACAACATGCCAATCTACTACATTGTTGACAAAAGTGGCACTCACATTATATATAACCATTGTTTTTTTTCATTTTCTTTTAAAAAAATGAGCTGGATTAGGGCGAGTTACGTGGAGTCATCGGAGTAACTCGCCTCGGCCGGGTCCCGGGTACCATGGCCGAGTTGATTTTTTTGAACACTAAAAGAGAGTAAGCTGGCTCTGGATTTTTATTTGTACAGGCATTTGCAAAGAAATACAGGTTGCCATTCACCTTGTTGAGTGATGAGGGAGACAAGGTGAGAAAGGAGTGGGGGGTGCCTTCTGATCTATTTGGGGCACTCCCTGGCAGGCAGACTTATGTTCTTGACAGGGATGGCGTCATTCAACTCGTCTACAATAACCAATTCCAACCTGAAAAGCATGTCGACGAGACCCTCAAGCTCCTACAATCGCTCTAATTTTCTCTCTCTCTCTGTCTATCTGTCTATCTCTCTCTCTCTCTGATACTCATTATTTGATACTCATTAGTTGTTAAATGATGTTTTGTTTGCCCGCCATATTATGGAGAAGCATATAAGCTAAGCATGGAATCTCTCTCACAATCGTATGTAGATTTGTTATCAGTGAATTGATTTTTTTTGTTTCTCTTTCGTATCATGCGAGACGCACACATTGTTGTTTTTCTTGGCTAAGTAGCATAGAAGACGTTTATCTCTTTTGGTTTCTCTTTGTTCTTGTTAGTTACAAGTTGCATACCTGCAGTGTTACCCTGATACTCCACATAAGGGCTGGTGTCATGTGTTTGAATGTTTTTGCCCCTTAGATGCATATTAACAAGCTGTGATTGAAAAATACAAAAAACTCTGTGCAGAACTTAAATTTGTTACCTCTTGCATTGGAAATCACCTTGCGATCATGGTGATCGAACCCTAGAGGGCACATTCTACCACCTTGGCGCCTTAATCACTTCAGCTCATTCTGTATTACTATTTTAGGCCAATGTACTAGACATCCTAAATGTGTGTTATACATTGCCAGTGATACAGGTACCATGTAATACTGCTTACAATCCATGGAATCCTCTCTCCCCCTCACATAATCCGAGGTACTCTGGCCTCACTGGGTACATGCGGCTTATGACCAAGGGATTGAATGGCATGAATAGCCTACATTCTAATTGGCTTTTCTCAAGTGAATCATTACCTAAGTGAGGTCCATATGGATCTATATGAGGCAGTGCATCCCAATGGTGTTATTCCTTTGAATGATCCATGAGTGGATTAGGAAAGGGTTCTAGGCTAGGTGTCTACGGTGGTGGGTACGACAATGTGACATCTTGATTTTTATTCTTACTACGGGTGGAATGGAATTGAACTATCTGAAAAAGAAAAGAAAAAAAAAGAGAAAAAAAAGAAAGATCCATGGGTGGATCTTGGAGTTAAAGCAATGGTGGAACCTGCTCTGTTTTGTTGGACTAGAAAAGGTATGTGATTCTTGTGACATAAGCCTAGCTATACAGGCTCTTATTGGAAGATGGCACTAAATAGAATAAATAACGAAATAGGATTTGTATGCTATGGAACCATTTATCTTACACAAGAGCTAACAAATCATTTTTAACAGACAAATATGAAATCCGAAATTTTGTTTGGTGTGCATCATTTCTCTTCGCAAAGTCTGAGGAATTATTTTTAGACTGTATGCACAATCAATGTATGCACAAATCAAAGGGACACCTCAGCCACCCGATTTCACATTTTACAAGTAAGGGAAATTGAAACTTTTTTGAAACTTAAGTAAACAGTTTTGTCGACCATGTCTATACTAAGGACATAAGTAGAGGCTTCAAGGGGTAAGCAAGGGATTTATCATGGGAGGGGGAGGCTTAAAGCCAGTGACTCAGACGGGTACCACTGGTTTGCTTTCGCACCAGGTCTTCCAATTCAGGAGTTGAGAGGTTCAGAGGAGGAGAGTCCTAAAGCTTTGGAAGTGCCCTCTCTACCCCCAAATTTTTCTATACCCAAACTGCCATTAGGAATCCTAGAATATCCCAATTAGGTCCTAAACACCCCATTTTAGGCCTAGTTTTCCTATCCATCTCTTGGAACCCTTATTTATTCTCTAAACCTTACCCATGAATTTTATAAACATTTTCCTCATTTTCTACTAAGTTTAGGTCCTAAAACCCTAGTTTTTCCTAACCTCGTTGCATACAGGGATACATAACTCCCTTACAACATGACTAATCCTTCACAGTTCACACTTATACCTAGAAACACTATCACAAAATATCCTCTGATTTCATACAACATACACCCCAAAGTCATATATCGCATGCTTAATAAGGTTGATTGCGCGTTCCTGCTTTGAGTTTCGTACTGATCCGTTGTATGCTTTCTTTTTATGAGAAAAGTTTATATAGAGCCTGGGCTCTAAACAATCAAATTAGAGCCTATCTCAAAGCTTTCACTAGAAGAGATTGTTTTGATGCCAAAATATCATCAAATTGATCATCTTGACATCAAGATGCATGCACATGAGAAAAAAATGAATTTTAAGTTTTGGAAATAGTGCATCTTATAATGCATTTTTGGACCGTCAGTTTACAAGATTTTCAAGTTTTCATAGATCTGCTCAATTTGCATCATTTTTTAAGCTTTAAATTTTATAACTGAACATAAAAATATAATTTAAGGCTATCACAAAACTTTCCAGTGTTAAAACCATATTTTTCGACACTATTTGAAGGTAGGCTTTAATTTGATTGGTTTCGAGCCTATGCTCTATACAAACCACACCCTTCTTTTATTCTCTACTTTGATCCAATTGATCTTTTTTTATATTTTAATTTGATTTTATAAAACCTTAAGATATTTCCTATCAAATCTCTATATTTTATTTTCAGTCCCTTATGATTTTGATTCCTATCCAAATGGTGATTTGTGATCACCAACTAGGTGGTCCATGAGTATGGATACATATTCGCTTTTAGTTGGCTCCCTTTCGTGTTTAAATTCTATTCGAAATTTGGTTTCTCTTTTACTTTGAAGTATTTTGAAAACTCTCAAAAGAATCCCTATTCCCGACGGTTGGGGTCAGCTTCATTCGTCAACAAGGCTTATAGCCTCTAAGTGTCCTCTAATGTATTCTCTTGAAGCTCCACTTTGAAGGACTGAAACACTTTCGAGAAGAACTTGCACCACATTTGCATTTGTGATTGTCTGCCTGGTATTTCATGGCCTCAGATGCAACGGGATCATCGAAGCCCAAAGCAGAATGCGTAATTCAAGTTGGAATATTGGCGTTGCGAGGCAGCTGCCGACCAATGGAACAGCCATTTTCACTATGAAAACCGTGATCAAGGCCTCAGACGATCCCATGGATATGAAGGAGCGACGGTATGTTGCCATGGGGGTCTCTCAGTTTCGGCGCTCTCAAAATTGGTAGGAGAAGTAGAAATTGATGGTGACAAAGATTCCTTTTGGTTAACATGCACCTTTGGCTCTCTAGAAGTTGGAGTTCTAGTTCTATAGGTTGCCAATGACCTGGACTCATCACATGACAAAAGATTTACAGAGAGGAAACATCGTAAACCTAGAGATATGGAAGAAAGAGGACTGCCAAGAAGAGTCACCAGAGATGTATTTGTGAATTTTGTGATCCTTACAAATGGTGGTGAATGACTTCCAAAACAAGCAATTGCCCTTTTGATGTCCATATTGATGATACTGATTTCTCGATATTCATCAATCGATGCCAATTAATTACATGTCAAAGAGAATAACTTCGATTCTCCAGATTTTAGAAAGGAAAAAGGAAATTTACGTGGAAAGAAATATCCCATAAACCTTGTTACTTTTCTCCAGTTCTTCTCTTTTCCTATAGTTGATCTTTTCTCTGTCATGTACGAAGTTCGAACGCTCAAATTGGCTGCTTATAATATTTCATAGTTCTGTTTCATATCCAGTTCATAAATTGTCTGTTTCTTTCTGTTCTATCCTTTTAACAGCTTTATGCTCATACATGGAAGGGAGTTCAAGAGGAAGTGGACGGGTTTAAATTTTCTTTAACTTCGATAAATGGAGTTCTTAGGGTCATCTAATTATATTACGATCATCCAATTATACTCCTGAGTTGTACAGGGAACTTTCAATATTAGAGTTTTCCCATAAACTCCATATATAAGCTAATTTGGGCTCTTGTTAATTAATGCTTTGCAGCCTAAACTAGTATTGCTTTGCAGCCTAAACTAGTATTAAGCAGGGTTCCGGGACTCGCCCCTTGGCTGTTTACTCAGCCCGGTCCTCGGGCCTCGGCGTGTCCTACACAAACCCAAAAAGCCTTAACAAAATTTCAAAAAATAGGAAAATTGTAGTAAAAGTAAAATGAAACTTAAAACATGATTTGAAAAGTAGAGAAGAAATGGATATTCTTTAACAAAAAAAAAAGGATTTACAGTCTGGGATATTTTAAAAAATCCTAGAAAAAAAAAAAAGAAGCGATATGGGAGAAAAACACTAGTCAATCTTTCCCAACTACATCTAAAATCATATAAAAAAGTGTATATAACAATTCTACTTTTTTTACAATTGCTTTTATTTATTTTTAATTCTTTTATGGAAAAAGTTTATATAAGGATGCAACCTTATAATGTAGAACTACGGATGCACCTCAAAAATCCATCAGAAAAAGTAGTTTTAATGTTGAAAACCCATTGATTGATCATCTCGATGTAGAGATGTATGACCACGAAAAATAAAAAGATTTAAAGTCTCAAAAATAGTGCACTTTACAACATATTATTTATACTGTCCATTTTCAATATTTTCATATGTTTATAGATCTACTTGATTTTAACCATTTTTGAAATTTAAAATTTTATAATTAGATATAAAAATAGATTTTGAGATAATCCTGAGAACATTTTACATCAAAATTATATACCATGATAAAATTTTAAGGTACCTCTACAGCTACGGATGCATCCGTATGCCAACTGCACCCTTCTTTTATATGCCCTATATACACAACAACTTTGGGATATTCGGCCTCGACCTTTGGGCGAGGCCGAGTAACTTCGCCATGTGGCACTACACTACTTTGCAATATTTGAGTGATATTTTAGAGCTCTGATACCAATTGTAGGGTTCTCGTGAACCCCTAGCTTGTGGAACTGGGGATTCCAAACACCAGGATCCCACCTAAGATCGTGTATATGATTGGCTAAATGCGAAGTAGATGAATACAACTATAAATTGAGTATAAGAAATAAAGCAAACATAAAAAGCACACCACAACAACACAAGATTACATGGTTCACCCTATAGGGCTACATCTATGGTCTCGGCAAGTAGAAATCCACTATCACAATGAAGATTACAGTTTGGGTTACATGAGATAATACTTATATCCAAACATCAGTAAGAGACCATTACCAATCTTCTATTCTAAGCCCGCTCTCCCGACCGAGCAACACTGTCTATTAACATCCTTTTTTCCACTGCAATACCGCTACCGGAAAGATAACATCGAGAGGAACCGAGATACTTTCTCTCTCTAAAAGTGAAAGTTAACCAACTCAAAACATATGGAAATACCGCGTCTCTCTCGGAGGTCATGTCTTTCTCTCTTGGAGCTCCATCTCCATGATGAAG